ATTTGGACAATAATAATAAAAAAAAATTCTATTTAAACTCTCCAATAATAAAAAAAAAATACTTCAAAGGCAATGAAGTCTTTGAAAATGATGTGTGCAATGATTTTTTTGGTGTATCTATCAAAAAGTACCAATTTTGATGTAAGCCCTCTCTCCAATGATGGGTCTTCATTTTTTTTGTGTTTATCGGTTTATGCCACGTAATGAGTTATGAATTTGGGCCCTAGACCACAATAATTAGCCGTTCTATGCCTCAGATCCTTTTTAAAATTCATAGTAATAGCAACTGGACCTCATCACCTGACTCATATCAGAGTTTGAAACCATTTGAAAACCCAAAGGTAGGCATGTTAATAAAGCATTTTATCCATCCATTAGATAGAAATTCTATGGAATGGGTTATCTTCATTTATCCGACCCACTCTTAGGTAATATTAGTTTAGCTAGATTTTTGGATTTTTTTATTAAAATATCCCTCATTTTAAATTTGGACACTCTCTATTTCAATACTATTATTCATTTATTCAATTCTCTCTCTCATTAAATCCCATATTTAAGCTGTTAATTTTTATTTTTTATAATTGGATCCTATATTTAACATATTTTTGTTTTTGTTATTAAATTTCATTAATTAAGTCCATAAATTATGATTTTCATAGTATAAAAACACATATTTTTAAAATCAACCTAAAAATGAAACTGTTTCCTTTTCATCTAGGTGGTGGTTAAATAGTTCAACCATCTAGGTCAAATGGGTCATCCATGATGTCATAATTAAATAATAAAAATAAAAAATAGATAAGTGTATAAAAATAAAGAAAGTCTGTAGAAAATTGTGGGCCCATACTATTATTATATATTGTTATTTTAAACACAACTATGCTATTTTTTTGTAAAGTATAACTTTATTAAAAGAGAAAAAGGTATAAAAAGAAATGCCCAAATAGAGTAGGCAAAAACCCAAAGCCATACAAGGACAACCTAAAAAATAAATATGAAGTATTTATTAATGATGTGAATAGAATGTAAAATTTAAAATCAATAAAAAATGAAACCATTTTCTATCTAGCTTGTAGGTCAATGGTCCATAATTAAAACATAAAAATTTTAAAATAAAGAAATAGAAAAAAATGAAATAATATAAAAAATAATAGAATATTTTGGGGCACATGTCTAATATTATATATTTGGCATATTAAAAAACTAAGTGTGATAAATAAAAAATGTTTTTATTAATAATAGAAGTGGAATACAAAACTTAAAAAAAAAATGATGTCTAATTTGTGATCCCACTAAGTCAAATTGTTCAATTAGGTCATCATGTTGCTAACCAAGTAAATGGTATTTTGAAAGTAAGTGGTTTGGTGATAAATGGACTAGAAATCATTGTGAGATGATGGGTTTACCAGTTTAACTAGAAGATTTGACCATGAGATAAAGCCAATATTCTAAAAGGTAATTTCAATTGCATTTCCCTCCCATTTAAACAAGTTAACTTGTGATGTCATAAAATAAATAATGAAAATATAAATATAAAGTTTATAAAAAATTTAAATACGTCTTTAATATTGTATATATTTTCATATATATGATGCCAAAATGTATTATACCAAAGGAGTTTTAACTAATCATACCTCCCTCCAATTAATTTTAATGAGTACTACTTGATTGGTAGCATATGAAGGAACCTGGGAGTAGGTACAAAAAAGTGATGGATTTAATGTTGAAGGGGATAGAAGAACTAGGGATAAATTGAGAAGGACCTATGTGTAACTAAGACAAGATGATACAAGTGCCCATAATTTAATGATGTATATAGCATTGAATATAATTGAATGGTGAAAAAGGATTCTTGTACCTGATCCCAGGCTCTTAGGTTATGATGATAACCACCTAATTGGTTATCACTTTTATGATATTAGTTACATCATGCTTTGATTACTTATTCTTGTTATATGAACTCTTATAAGAACTTTTAAATTTTAGGGTAAAAGACTTAAGCATATCCGAGTTTTTACACTTCATTTCCTTTAAAATTTTTAAAAAGAACCAAAAGGATTATAAATCTGGATACCCCTCCAACCATTAGCGAGAATGGTAAGAGAAGCTTTAACATGGATTTTGAGATTGATTGATGAGCCCCGCCCAGTTCAAGTTAAATTTTGTCTATATAGATTCTAATTTTGGATGTTTTACCCATAGTAGTAGATAATAAAAGGTGGAAGAAGAAGGTTTAAGAAGCAAAAGCATCTTTAAAAGAATTAGATTTAACGATTCAGTAATTTTGGTCCTATATGAGCCATAGTGCTAAAAGAGCACCTGCATTGATGTAAGAAAAATGGAACTGTTTCTATAGAGAGAGACTTCATGACCTGTTCCTCCAATTGATGCAAAGGATATGCATTGGTCAATAGTTAAGCATATATCTGCACCAGACTAATTATTGATGATTAATTTTTCAAATAAAAAGTGAAGGCCATCCTTATTATAATTCAAATAATAAAATAGATTTACAGATGGACAAATTTCATTTGCTAAAGGGAAAAGTAGGATTTAAATGAATTTACATATGACATTCCATTGATGGAGGTATGTTTAAGTCAAGAAGGGCCAATCAACAAGGCATCTTAAGTCCTTTTGAACAACTCATGGTATGTTTAAGTCTTTTTCTCTAAATTTTATCATTATTACCATTATCATTAAAAACTGCCACATGCAATGCATGTGCACATTAGGGCTTGTTCATTTTTTTTTTTTTTGGGATTTTGAGGAGAAAAGTTAGTCAATGGGATTTTGGTTCTAATTGACTAAGATATCTATATTCTATTTTCAGATTTATGTGGGGTCTACGGAAAATTTATTTTTCCCTAGTGGGTAAGTGATACCTATCTCCTAGGTGAGAAAGTTACTTATCCACCTGAGAGGAAAGTTGCCAATACTTGGATGGGGCAAAATTGCCAATGTCTTTTTATGTTTAAAACGATCATTGTCTTATTTACCAGAAAAATAAAAGAACATGGATAAATGCACTTATCCGGGTAAGTGTTCCCAAGAAATATTAACATGTTAGTGTTTTAAACCAAATACCAGTTGATGTAATGTCTTCTTTTTTTCTTTTTTCTTTCAAATTGTGTGTTCATATTTTATTGAGAGGTATTCGGATTAATTACCACGGTTGTAGGAAATGTGATCTCAGTTTTAATATGGATCATTTGATAACATCTGAAAGTAGAACTGAATAACTTGTTGCTTTGTATTTAGTGAATAAAACAATTAAATGATAAAAAGTTTTATTGAATAGTAATAAATCCAACTTCAGCTTCAGCCATTAAGGAGCTCACACCCTCAATACCATATCCACTAAAATACAAAGTATTAATTCATTCAGTTCAGCTACCGCGATCAGTTGTTATCAACCTGCCCCTAGATCTCAAACTAGTCGACCCTAACTCAACCTGATGCTCAATCCAAATTCATCAATTCCAATCCAATATTTTCTTCTCCAACGTAACCCTAATTCCAGCCCAATATGTTTAGAGGCAAATAACATATAAATATTGTTGGTTCACTACTGAGATTCTTGTAACTATGATTGGTTTTTACCTTTTTTACATGTTGTAGGACTAAGACTAGTCCATTTCTTGTATGAATTCATTTTTGCTACGATACTGTACAGGGCTAAAACGAGAATCATGGCCTTTGATATATTGCACCAGACACACTAAGATGGTGTTTGGCATTGATACCGTTTTCTAAGAAAACAACGCCACATAGGTGATACATCAGAAAAAGGCCTCTTATTTAGCATCATTTAAAAAAAAATGTTGCTCCAGATCATGCCTAAAAATTGGGAAAGTATGGTTTGAAGAAACACTAAATTCAATATTTTCTCAGAAAACAGCCTGTTTCTGCCAGCGGTGCAATGGCGTAGCATCATTTTAGGCATTGAATAATGTATACCAATACTGAAAATGATTATACAACACTAGCATCAGCATTGATGCCAAATAAAAAAATGAGCCATTTTCTGAGAAAACGATGCAATAGATCCTGCATACAATATCGTTTTATCAAAAAACATCTCTAAAGCAACAGTATCAATGCCAAACACCTATTAACATGTCACTTCATCTAATTCAAAGGTAGGGTCATTGCAAAACATCTAAAGCTACAGGACACTGCCATAGCAAATGTGGTTTGTTCTTATTTGGTGTCATATGTCATATTCATTGTTAAATTATGAATGCTTAAACCATTTTATACTGCTTCAACCCATATCTTTTCAGACTGCTCTTAGGCCTTCTGACCCCTCCAACTTGTAATCAGTCAATTTGCACTTTTGACAATTAATTCTCTCCTCTTTTCACAATTAATGATATCCATTGTTGCATTGGGTCAATACACCCCACCAAAGAGCAAATCCTTACATCTCCATTTCTCTCTCTCTCTCAAAAACAACACCTTGCCTCTTCTGAGGGGATGAACAGAGAGTTGTTAAAAGGGTAAAAGACCCACTTTAGAGTTTAGATCATGTCTGTTGTAAGAACTCCCCAGACTTGACGATCAATTTTCAACAAGTGGGAATCTTCTCGCTTGCCAAAATATACCTAACGAAAAGCCCTCCAGGGGAACCAACCATTTCAGTCCTGCCACTCTGCCACATAACCTCAGCTAATGAGTCCAGAAAAGAAAATGCGAGGAAACCGCGTGGATTCATCTATAGGCGCTACACTATACGTACAGTTAATAGAAACCCCTGTTGTTTTCTCAGTTTCCCATGTGTCTCGACCAAAGCGCCCTGATGGGAGGACAAGTGAAATTTCATTAGCATTCCCTCTCTGGACTACTTCATTAACAGAGGCCCTGTTTGGGGGTGGTCCTCCATGATGATTCTGTCATCTCATGTCCGTATGTTTGTCCATTTCTGTGTAAAGGTGTGTTTGGGTTATCTCCATCAGTCTATTCCAACGCAAATGATGAAGAATGACAGCCACTCTCCTTGTTTCTCATGGGTTTAATTTACTGGCTACTGTGTACTGCTTAGCCCAAGCTAAGCATCTTTCTGAAAATGAAGGTTTTTCAGAAAAAAAAAATGATTATTCATTGCTTATGATCAACAAGGGAAAACCCAGTCTGAGTCTTCCATGTCTACAACCTTTCTGCTAGAAAGTTCATTAGATCATAGAATGTTGTTTACTTCTCCAGGCTGCCAATGATCTAGTGTCATCAACAGGTCGATCCTTTAATGGGCTTTTGGCATGTTAATTACCACCCCCATCTGCTCACTTCTCTCTGCCCCTCTGTAGCCAAACAGTCTGCTACTCTGCTTAGATTTTGGCTTAGATTTCCTCACTGCATTGAGATACTTGTTTGTGCCAGTGCTTTTGCCTGTGGACCTGAACCAAAAGCACTGATACTAGACTACCGGAGGCAGGATCCAACACCTTTCAATTCTGATCCCAATTCGATTATGTCAATAATAGAATGAGAACTACTGGGAATTCGGATCAAGCAAAGGAGAACTTTTTACGGTGGTCTTCCAGTACCAGATAGACTGTGGCTTGATTAGTATACAGAAAAAAGTGGGTGAGGTATTTTCAGTGTCAAAAGGTGAAGAAGTACCACTCGTTTGCCTTTGATACTGAGCTCATACATGTGTTGCCTAGGTATGAACAATCAATACACATCTCACAGTAATAAATAACAATTGCTTTTTATATTTTCAGTTATATGTAGCAACTGGGTTTCTAAGGATTGAAGGAATGAACAACCCATTAATGCTGATGAGGGGAGCTTGTCTTCTGTGAAAAATTTTAAGGGCATTGATGTCCGAACTGCTGCCTCTACCATGTTGAGATCTAAGGTTAGAAGCTTTATTTTAAACTTTCATTTACATGCATTTCTACTTTTCTTACCCTGTTGTATTAAAGCATTCCACTCTCTGTACACTCCATCATCTATGCCTATTCCCTTAATCTAGCTAGCAGTTCCTAACTTACGATAGCTAGGTTGCTGTTGATCATTTTCATCTTTTTTTGTTGGTAGTAAAATAAAAATTTATTAAAAACGAAAGAACAAGAAGAGAATAAGATGATCATTTTAATCTTGCATCTGCAGAAATTGTTGCTTTGCATTTAACTTGTCAGATATGAATATGATTTGATCCATATTCATCATATATATGATACATAGATGGAGCAGACATGCATTCTTTTTTTTTTTTCTCCTTCTATTTTAAAACAGGTGAAATCTTGATAAAGACAATATATATCATCTCCTCAGACATATTTTCCTTCCAATCAAAGTGCTGATTACTTGGGAGGCCACTCAACACAAGCACTGTTCAGTGCATTAATTTCTGCAGACTGGTCCTGATAGTGTAGGAAGAGCCAGTGGGTTTGTTGACATATGCTTGGAATGGGTGATTAACATGAAATGAGTTTAGCATTAATGGAGAAGAAACAGAAACTATGATTCAAGCAACTTAATTTTCTATGCTATGTTCAGAAAGTTGATTTCCTTTTGTTTGTAGAAGACTATATATAGTACAAGACCTAAATGGTTTAACCAAGTTAACAAAGATGTGGACAATATAGGTATAGTTGATAGTTCTATTTCATCTCTCTCTCTCTAGATCTCTTTTTCATCTGACTTTTTTTTTGCCAGGGTCTATCAATCAAGCCTCTCTTTTTAAAACCTTAATAAATCATCACCACTCCCTCTCAACTCCTCTATCTAGAGTCTGTCATACCTATTATATAAGAAGTCATAAACTACATAGGATATATAAATTGACAAAACCTTAAAAGAAATTTAGACAGAAGCAGAAGGAAGTAGAAAAAGGAGATACTCAATAGCAAACAAGGAAAATACAAGAGGAGGCTTTGAGGCTTTGCTCTAGTTCGTTCAGTCAACTTCAATTCAAGAGATCAAATATGTTGGACAGACAGCCTCCTCCAAGTTTCATTATTTTTCTCATCAGGCGGTTTAACACTTTCAATGTAGTTTTAGACCTCTCATCTTCTTCCTTCTTTTTTCCATGCATGTATATGTCTTTAAGCTTCTAAGGAAGCTTACCTTAATATCCTTGGACTGCAGTTAGATGAATGGGTGTGATCAAAGAGTTCTTTGTACTCTAGCTAGAATCCTAAAGCTCCGTTTGTTTTGCAAATTTTAATCGGATACAAATTTTGCATCTTTTTTTTTTTTTCTTTTATAACCATGATTTGCACTGCTTGGCACTAAACTAATCGCTCTTTTTGCTCTCTTTGACAAAGCTGCTTTTCTTTTCTCAAAAAAGAAAAAAAAAATGGTTTGCACTCCTAGCTAGCTACCTGATACAAAATTTGTACTTTCTATCACATGCACTAACTGGTGGTACAAATTTTGCATACTGATGCAAAATTTATATTACCTTCTTCCTACATCAAATTTCTCTCTTATATATAAAGTGGGGACCACATCACATTGTTTATTACCTCACTCTCAAACAAATAACCCTCCTCCTACGTAAGTACATTACTATGTTTCATGTAAGGTGCACAAACAAATAAGACAAAGTCAAATATGAAGCAAAAGTAAACCAGACTTTACACTCAATCTCTTACAACTCCCATGTATTTACACCAGCAAAAATTGCATAAAAAACAAGCAAAAAAATTGAACTTGAAATGGTTCAACTTTCATTTTTTTTTCTTTGCTCAGTAGTTATCTTCTTACTGCTATGATTTGACTAGATTTTGATAGATTAATGCCTTGGAGTTGCAAAACATCAATCCCTTTCAAAATGTTAGGCCAAATATCTTATCATCATTCTCTATTCAAATTTCATAAGTAGTAATGGATCCTATTCCTGCAGGCCACTCACGAAACAGCTTGGGACTGAGCTTTACATAACTGTCCATGTTGTCTGAGATTAGAAGGCTTCAGCTTCCAAGGAAGAGCATAAAAGGTAAACCTTTTGCACGTTCCATTCCAAAAATGCCTAGGGAGCTATCACGAAACGAAACTAATTCTAGCTCTGTCCGCTGACTTCAATCACTCCATTAACATCAACTTTCAGCTAGTTCGTTGGCTGGTCTCAACCAATTGGCATTAAGTGAGAAAAGTTTTGCTATTTATAAAAAAACAGCCTGAGCTGTTTTGAAGCTTCCTTCACATGATACATTACCCCACTTAGTTATTTATTAATTTATTCTAACATAATTGCAATTAAGGCTCCATTTGGAAGGAGTACAAATATAAATATGTTGAGCGTAAAATCTTATATATTTATATTTGTATTTGTACATCAAACTTTAAAACAGTCAATATTTTTTTTTTCTTTCTTTTTTAAGGTTGCGTTTGTTTTCAGTGTAAATGCAAATTAAAGTAAAATTCCACCACTGATTTGCATTTACCTGCATTTGTTTTTAGTGTAAATATATACAGACTGATACAAAACTCTACCCTGGTCTGTATTTTCACACGTTGTAACCCATCAGCTGAGTTTTCCATTAATAATCGATATAAATAATACATAGATTGTCACGTTTAAAAATGTCCCAATGGTTCATGATATTTTAAACCCTTTAAAATTGGATTCTATCTGTTGAGTTTACACCGAAAGCAAACGCAGCCAAACAGAAAAAAAACTTATCCCTTTAACTAAGTACATTACCACAGAATATAGGAGTAATAGAAGATATTGATGAAAAGAATTAATTCTGTGTCTCAAAAAGATTTTCAGAAAGAAAAATCTACAGACATTTTTAGTCAATGTCTATGCCACCTAAAATTTCACATGTAGAACTAAAGCTTTAGATATGTTTGTGTGCCTTTTGCATCTTCAGTGATAAGGCTGGTGAGAATTCTATTTTGACAGGCAAACAATTCTGGATACAATATATAAATACATAAAATCTATATCTATTGAAAAGCGTTGATCTGGACAATATTAACAAGAATTCTAACATCAGTGACTTTAGCCCAGAACCTATTGTTTTGCTAATATTAATCTCAATGCTTATTATCTTATCTGTAATGGTGAACAAAATGCCAAAGACATCAAAAGTTGATCATATATATATATATAATTGTTATCTTATCTGTAATGATGAACAAAATGCCAAAGACATCAAAAGTTGATCATATATATAAGCCATATATTCTTCTTGATCAGTTATGCACAAGGTTCTAAATATTGACACAGGTCGATATGCCAGTAGGGCATATTGGCATGTGTCGATGCTTTTTTTAATGTTTTATTTATTTATTTTTTTTCTAGAATCAGTTTAGAGGGATTGGTTTAAGTCCTAACTACCCTCTGAACCATGGTCTGACCCAATACAATTCCAGGCACATTAGGAAACTCCCAACACGATACCTACTAATACTTTGAACCTTGATTATACACATGGTCCCAGTTTGATATCGTTGACATCAGGGATGATGCGCCCATTTACGTTAGAAGTTCATTATATAGGAAACCTTTTTAGCTAGGAGTGCATTGGGCCGGAACTCTCAGGCCGGGTGGGGCCCAGACAACTTTTAACAAATCCTTTACGCAAGCCCACCCAAATTTGCAGCCCTACTTTCAGAAGTAAAGATAAGTGTGGCCGAATTCCATACATCCATTATAAAGGAAAGTTGTTTGGATTGGCTAGGTATGTATGACATCCCTATTAGTTAATACATATAAATTGTATAGCCCATCAATAGTGGCATTGCAAAACTTAAGGCCATGTTTGGTTTGGTTTGAAGGAAAATGAAGGGAAAGAATTGTATAGGTTTCCTTCTTTTCCCTTCATTTTCCTTCAAACCAAGCATAATATAAAGGTACGCCATTTATACGGAACCTCAAATAAGTCTCAAAAATGCATCAATTGCATTAAATATATATAAGGTTTAAATGAATAAGATATCAATATATTAGAAATACATATTTTAATAGTTTATGTGAAATGTGAACTATCGGGATACACTTAGGGGTTATTAAATTAAACATCAATAATTTGAAAAACGATTAAAATTGCACATATACATACCTTAGGAATTCAATTAAAATTAAAAAGATAAATTTAGTAATAAGCCAAAACTTGAAAGTTGAAACACATGATAATTCAACAATTTATTGTTGTAACTGTTAATGGGTCAACCCTTGATGTCTTTAACATAAAGAAATTCAGAAAAAATTAAATAATAAAGAACCCGATAACTTATTGGACAGATCAACGGTTCAATAACGTGAGTGGTTCATTGACCAAATCAATGTTTTTTTTTTTTTTAACACTAGTGATGATGGGTGATTTGACTCCAGTAACATCGTGACACATGGCACCCCAGAATCGTCTCACAACACCTCAGTGCCATGTAGGCAACGACTTCAAAAACACTTCGAGCACACATTGCCTTCCTTAATTGTCTCAGCACCACCTTGGCAGGGCCGACTTGTGGACATCTTGACTTGACAGGGTTGGGTCGGCATAAGAGGTGACTTGCTTTTTCCGATCTGATTGAGCCTCAGTTGGCGATATGCATGACATGGTGGTTGACTTGCTTCACGACTGAACTATCGTCTTTGAATCATCTGGGATCACGTTGCTTGATTGACAGAGCTAACTCTCACCCCACCCACTTCGAAGGCAATCGTATAAGCTCTATCGCCTTATGCGGTAGCCATCTCCGAACATGAAACCACCTCCGAGCGAGGTAAGCCAGTGATCTTAGACATGCTACGTGAAGCCCACGACAACCTGCATCTATATAAATGTATCCCGTTGATCATAGAAGGTACACACAATTTAGCACCCAACTCTCTTGTTCTTTCACTTCCTTGCTCTCTTCAAACTCATTGCTAAGTTAAGCATCGGAGTGTCCACCCTGGGTAAAGCACCCCAAGTACTCTATCCATTGTTTCCTTGCAGCTCGGCCAACCAACTTAGTCAGCCCATCATTCGTCTATCCTCTAGCAGGAAGCACCAGATCGTATACCATCAACTAGGTTTAAAGTTGGCCCGAGCCAGTATTGTGACCAAATAACCACTATTTGACTAGTTGGGTCAATGACAGGTTGAAAATACCGGTAAGAAGAGAACTAATAGGAGAGATGGGTGGGAAGTTCAAATTAAAAAAAAAAAAAGTAAATTGGTTGATACATACTGATACATCAGATGTATTCGGTAATATAGGAAAAATGTATTGCATTAATATTTTGAGGACTGGATGGGCTGGAGATAAAATCCTACAGTGGAACTAAGATTTGTAGGGGTGGACTGAACAGTAAAAACCCCTAAAAACAATCACCCTAAAACCTGCTAATTACTATTCCATTTTAAGCTATAGTTATCATCTTGCTATTAAATAGATCAAATGAAGCATTTATTTTATTTGGAATCTTTAATTATCACCATTCCATTTTAAGCTCCTGCTAATTTCAACAGTTATAAATTAAAAATTAAATGTCACTTTTGTTCTGTCACACGACAAAGTTGTGGATGAGGATAAACAGAAAAAGTAAGGTCTTTTGAATAGTCCATTCGGTCGTCGCTCTTATAGTTCAGTGGTAGAGCATCAGTCTTGTAAACTGAAGGTCCATGCGTGGGGCATGTCTCTCTAAATTTCCTCACTTTTTCTTTCAATAAAAAAAAAATCCTACTGTGTATTCACGAGTAAAGATTCCTGACTCTTTTCCCATACACATTGGTAGACGAGAAGGTGGCCTTTTTGAAGACAAGACTGATTTAATCTCAGGTTTGCAGTATTAACCTGCACAAATTTGTCACACTTCTCTAGTGAGATCTTCTGTATTATAAACACCAGAATGGGGGCCCTGATCGATAGGGCGTAGAAAACTGATAAAATAAAAACCCTTGATATAATTAATATTTATGGGTTTCTATTTTTATTAACTGAAAAGCACATGTGAGTACCATACCAACCAATGATGGTTCAGTTGATAGGATCTCCATGAAGAAGAGAAAAAAAACGTTCATGTGGGTCATCAATATTAATATTATGCCTTGATTGAATAAACTGATAAAGCATTAAGCTATCTCTCTTGTCAGTTCTCAGGAGTTGTTTATTGGTCAGTGTAGAGCCTCTGGGAACTAACTTATCTTTCTAAACTGAAGGTTTTGCAGAAGAAAATGTCTCAACAGTTCGACTGGAGTTGTCCTCTGGAACCAGACAGCCATTATTGTATTTTAGATTACATTTAGAGACTTGTGCCAGTGCTTTGACTGCTGGGGACCTGATCAGCTAGCTGCTGAAGTAGTTGTTAGAGACCATTGGGACATGTTTGGGTTCAGAAGAGAAGAATTGGAACTCATTCATGATCCTATTTTGGGCTCTACAGGAGAAAACTAATGTCTTGTGCATTGTCTCAAGGGAGAAATATAATTGGATGAAACACACAAGACAGTAGGGCAACTTGATTAATTGGGGCAATGGTGTATATCCAAGCTGGTGACTGTTTATGGTCTTGAATAACTCTTGGTAATTCTACCTCTGATCCCCTGCAAACATTTTGCTAAGGTATGAGTACTCATTTCAGAAAACTCTTGCCAATCCCTTTCTTTGTTTATGAGCTGTAACAAAGAATTTCATTTCATTTCATTTTTGTTTTAATTAGTAGTCAAGGAGCCTGTGGACAAAACTTTAGGGAGTTGAACAAATGCTGAATGTCCAGCCTCTGCCAAGTGGACAGTCATGGTAACCTTATTTTATTGTTTTTTCATTTTTATTTATTTATTTATATTTGTGGTAGCCTTGCCTTTTTTTAATATATAGTAGAATTTAGAAGATATTTGCTAATATGGCAATTGCTGATGTGACAGTTGTTTTTGTTTTGAAAGCCTTACATTTGCTTTATACTAGCGAGGACCCGTACGATATACGGGATTTGTCAAGGGAAAGTTAAAGAATAGAAACTGATAAGGAAGGAACACAATGTTGTTTAAAATAACTAAACTTTATTTTACTAATTTGTTACAAAATAATTTGGTAATTTAGTAATTTGGATTAAATATATTAATAATTTTCAACAAAAATAATAAATTACTACAAATTACTTAATAAAATTATTTTTCCATTTTATTTGTTAGTGTTTTATTTTATTTATTTTAGTTTATTAATTATTAAATATTACATTTTTTGTAAATACTATTTAAATATTTAAAATACTTAAATATTGGAAAATATATAAAATTAGGTTATACTCATAATTAAATTAATCTAAACCCAAGCTTGAGGTTTGGGTCTTTGGGTTGGGCTTGGGTTGATCCTCAACCTCACACAACCAATCCAAGTTGCACTCCAAAGAAAATGTGACATTCGTAATTGGACTAAACCAAATCGAGTACAACCTGAGTATTGATTATTTTTGGGCTTTTAATTATTCTTAGAAAATAATAATTGATATTAAAGCCAAAGGAGGTATGGGAGATGAGCTACCCTCATTGTGTATCCCAATGAAAAATAGAATAAAATAAAAGATCTCAAGCCAAGTTTTGATAGTGTATTAATAGTTTTAAAGGAACTATGGGGGATAATCGTGTTAATTATAAAACTACAATTTCATTACAAATCAATTTTTTTATTTAATTTTAGTCTATTATAAAAAATATATAAAAATTTCTATCTATTTATCAACATAAAATTTATTATCTAAATATTATATAAGAATATTTACCATATATGTATATAACTTCCAAACCAAGATTAGGGATTTCTTAGCTTGGCCCTTGCCTACTAGGGTTGTCAATGGACTCTAACGGTATGATACCTGATTCAACTCCAAATCCAATTATCTTAGATTTGGATGTCAGAACTTGCATTTGTTTAATAATTGGATCGAATGTGGATTAATCCCATATGATCCAATTAAAATCCAAGTCCAATAAAAAATTATTATTTTATGTACATATATAGATATTATGTATAATTATATAAAGTTAATAATTGATAAATTTGATATTTTATATTTATATACACTTATTATATATGCATTAAAAATAATTAGTTTTTTAAAACTTTTAATTTTTTTCATCATTTTAAACACAATAAGATGGTTGCAGATTAAATCTAAATCCAATCTAAAATCCAACATAATAATCAGATAGATGTAGATGCATATCTAGAGATTTCATTATCAAATGTGGATGTAGTTTCATCCAATTCAAATCCAATTTGTTTACAACCATACTACCTACATTATGTTTGGGCTTAGTGCGGATCTAAGCTAGACCTAACTCAGAAGAAAATAATGGTTTGAGCTTGGAAATTTGTAGGTCTAGCCAAGTTTGGCTAGGTTATAAATGACCATCCCCAAGTAGAATGAGTTTTATGACATTTTTTATTAGGTCATTATTAGTTTTATTATTTTAATTATTTTTTATACTTTATAGGGAAATCAAGCGGTTTGTTATATTACTTTTAATACTTTTTTTTTACATTTTCTTATCAATTTTAATAATCCTATTAATATTAGTTATTTTGAATAGAATTCAAATTTATTTTAATTTTTATATGATGAATTACTAATTTTTACTAATTCAATATTTTTATAAACTTTAGTAATTTTTTTATTAATTTTTGTTATTAGGTTTGAAATTATAGTTTTTTTGACAATTAACCAATTAAATAGAATTTGAATATGGAACAAATAAATGAAATTTAGATGAAAGTAAAATCCTCTCTCTATCTTTTCAAAATACAGTAGGCTAATAATGGAAGAGACTTATAGAAATATGCTAAAATAGGTTAATGGTGGAAGGTTAATAATTTTGTTTACTAACTTTTAAATTGTTATTTATTTGTGGGCCTGATGCGGGCCCAGGCAGGAGCTAGACTGAAATGATCATCCCTAAGCAAATTGTTTTTGGTTTATTAGATTAATGAGAAGAGGAGAGAGAGAAAGGATAAAATAAAGGGTAAATTACAAAGACCCCCCCTGTACTATGGGGTCAGTGACAAAGACCCCCTTGTACTTTGTTTTGTGACAAAGAACCCCTCTGTACTATGACCGTGAGACAAAGATCCCCTTCTGTTAGCCTTTTGTCCAAAAAGGCTGTTATAATATTTTTTAATCCCCATACTACCCTTAAAGATGGGAATTGAAAATACCCCAATGTTTGGATCGAAGCGGAACTAAGTCAGATTGACCTGCTCATTGATTATCTGCTCCACGGGACCCTACCTGCAGAACGCAATGCAGCTCGGTGGGTAGAGCGTCAATTAGCTCGGTATGTCCTTATAGACGGACAGCTATACAGGAGGTCCTTCACGCTCCCCAACCTACGTTGCCTACGATCCTCAGAAGTTGAGTTCGTACTTCGCAATATCCATGAAGGGTTATACGGAGGACACTTGGGGGGCAGAGCGCTCGCCCAAAAGGCATTAAGACAAGGCTACTATTGGCCCACTATGAAGGTAGACGCACTCGAGCTCGTCAAGAAATGTGACTGATGTTAGAGGCATGCCAGCATCCTTTATTAGCCTATCGCCGATCTGAAGTATTTGACTAGCCCGTGGCCCGTCACGCAATGGGGAATCGACATCCTCAGTCCATTTTCGCCGGCAACCGGGCAAAGGAAGTTCTTGGTCGTGGTAGTGGACTACTTCACGAAGTGGGTGGAAGCTGAACCGTTAGTAAGCATCACAGCTCGGTATGTGCAAAATTTGTTTTGAAAAAACATCGTGTGCCGTTTTGGACTGCCCAAGGCTTTGATATTGGAGAACAGGAAGTTATTTGAGGACATTAAATTATAGAACTAGTGCGCCGAGATGGGGATTCAGCAAAATTTCACTTCGGTAGCACACCCCAAGCAAACGGACATACCAAAGTGAAGAACAGGGCTATTCTCCATGGACTGAAAGCTCGCCTTGCGCGAGCCAAAGGGTTGTGGGTGGACGAGCTGCCCAGCGACCTTTGGGCCTATCGGACTATGATCAAGACCGCGATCGGGGAAACACCTTTCAACCTCACATACGGGATGGAAGTCGTGATTCTGGCAGAGATTGAAGTACCAACGTTGCGGCTCGAAGCATACGACGAAGAGGTAAACAACGACGAGCTCCGAACTAACTTGGACCTGGTTGAAGAGATACGCGACCTGGGCCATATTCGAACTGCGGCTTACCAACAATGAGTAGCTCGGTATTATAATGCTCGGGTTAGGAAGCGACTATTTCGAGTCGGCGACCTTGTCCTCGGTAAGGTAATGGTACCTGAGCCCGGCGTGGGTAAGCTCGATCTGAACTGGGAAGGTCCATNCGAGTAGCTCGGTATTATAATGCCCAGGTTAAGAAGCGACTATTTCGAGTCGGCGACCTTGTCCTCGGTAAGGTAATGGTACCTGAGCCCGGCGTGGGTAAGCTCGATCTGAACTGGGAAGGTCCATATCGGGTGAGATGGGTGTTAAGAGAAGGAACCTATGAGCTCGAAACCGTTGAGGGGAAATAGGTACCTCGAGCTTGGAACGTTGACAACCTAAGGAGATACTATCTGTGAAACCTCAACACAATTGAAAAAATGACTAAGTCCACTGGATCACTGAGTTGACCCTAAGGACGACGAACTGGAGAGAGGACCCTAAGTCACTCCTAGAAGCCTAAGGGCTATGGTGCCGAGCTGACAAGAAGACATCGGCACGATATAATACCCAATCGTCTCTTCAGCATGGGCATAGAAGTCCTAGTCGTCTCTTCGGCACAGGAAGCCTAAGACCAGTCGCTTCTTCGACATGGCCTCGCTAAGACCTAGTCGCTTCAGCATGGGCAACTAAAAACCCCAGTCGCTTTGGCATGGGTAAGGCAAAGTAGCCTAGGCATAAACAGGTCGGGCATGTACCCTATAGTGTTTGTTCACCCCAGCGTACAACGACGTTGGATTATTCCTATTCGAGTCTAGCTCTCGCCAGCTCAGGAGTAATCTACACTTGGAGAAATTTTTTGCACACAAGAAATTTTGCAAATGTGATATTTCATTAAAGAAACGTTTTAGGTACATAGTGAAAAAAAGGGGGAACAAGTATTTACAGGGGTATCCATGAAAAGAGGCATCAATCAACTCGGGGCTCCTCATCCCCAACAGAGGCATTGGCAGGCAGATCGGTCTCCATATGGTCCTCGGTGACACCACCTCCCTCTCCCTCTTCTGTTGCCTCATCGTCGAGGAGGTCGTCTTCGCTCTCTTCCTTAGAGTCCGGGTCCTTAGAAGCTTCGACGACCATATCCTTGGTGATCTTCGACGTTGTGATTGCACTGAGGTGGAGATGGGGGAATTCATGCTGGGTCAACCATTTGCTAAGCTTAAAACCCTTGCGGTAGCCCGCTGTTCCGGCCTCGACCAGCAGCTCGCGATGTTCTATCAAAGACTTGTACTCCTCAACGACCTTGACCTTGGCCTCCTCCATTGCCTGGAGCAGAATATCAGTCCACTCCTTAACCAGCGCCTCGAGGTTCTCGTTCTCTCTCTTAAGAGTCGTCTCGTGCTCCTCTAGCACCTTCTTCTTTGCCATCAACACAGTTAGCAATTCCTTTATAGCTCGCGCATCAATTTTCAGGTGGTTGACTTCGTTGCGAGCTAGGTTTAGCTCGGATTGGGCACTTCGGGAGGACTACTCGGCCTCGAGAGCTCGTTTCAGGTTCACCTTGGACTGGTAGGCCAGGGCATGGATCGAAGAATTCACTTTCCAAAAGAAGAAATAGAATCTAAGTATGGAGAAAAATCAAAGTGTAATATAGCCCAATGGTTGAGTACGTACCACCAGGCAGTGAGTTGTCACTTTAACCCCAAGCTGAGCAATCAGTAAGTCAGCCCAACAAGCAACCACCTCGGCAAAGACTGCGTCCTTGCTCTTGAGCAGACCAAACTTCGGAGTCAAGATGCTTTGAGCTGAGGTATTGCTACTCGATGGAGTGGTCGCTTGAGCAT